GAAAACCCCTCAAGGATGCATCCAGTGGATCGCAGGCGTCGACCGGATCCACCCCCTCAGGGTCAACTTGTACAGTTACTACCTCTACTCCTGGCATTGGAGAAGAGCCTTTCTCCACGCAGCCCAGGCCAGCTAGTCGTCCAGAAGAAAGCAGTGGAACCACGGTGTGTACTGAATATTGGGATGTACCCTATGATCCTATTAATGAGACTATTTTTTGGTACTCCGAGCAACGCTCACCACTCCTGCTCGAGGTGATCTGCAACGGACAGCGCCTCCAAGCACTCGTGGACAGCGGGGCGTCGCACAGCGTCTATGACAAAAAGGCAATCGATCGACTCGGAAGTGACATCAAGTCCTCAAGCTTCTCTGCAACGATGGTGGATGGCAGTAAGCTACCTATCTACGGGGAAACACGGTTGCTACTCCAGATTGGACCCCTTCGATGGAAGCCTGCTCTCCCCGTCACAAATATTAAAGGACTCGACGTAATCTTCGGGAGAGACTTTCTTAAAAAGTTCAACCCCGAGATCAACTGGGTTAACCAGACGGCCAACATCAACAACAACGGGAGGAAAATCAGCCTTCCCAAATGGGACGACACGGGAAATATTCCAGTCGAGACACTCGCACGCTTTGAAAAGGACGTCAAACGGACCACGGCGGGATTCATGGCGATAGTCAACGAGGCAGACAACGGAGAGAAGCAGACCCAGGAACTTCCTCCAGCAGTCGAGAAAATTCTTGAAGAGTTCCAGGACGTTCTCCCCGACGATTTACCTGATCAACTACCGCCATACCGGACACATCAACACGAGATCGTAGAAGAGCCGGGGTCCAAGCCAACATTTCGAGCACCATACCGGCTAAGCCCGACAGAGCTTACCGATATGAAAAAACAAATAGAGTATCTCCTGGAGAAAGGGCTGATTCGACCTTCGACTTCGCCGTACGGAGCTCCAGTTCTCTTCACTCCGAAGCCAGACGGAAGTCTGCGAATGTGCATCGACTACCGAGCCTTGAACAAGCAGACTGTAAAAAATAAATACCCGATACCACGGATCGACGACTTACTCGATCAACTTCGCGGTGCTACGGTATTCTCCAAGCTCGACCTCAGATCGGGATACTGGCAAATTCGTATGGCGGACAACTCTATCCACAAAACCGCTTTTCGAACTCGGTACGGGTCATACGAGTATCTCGTGATGCCATTCGGACTCACTAACGCACCAGCCACATTTCAGGCAGAAATGAACCACATCCTTCGGCCCTTTCTGGACGAGTGCGTGGTGGTATATTTGGACGATATCCTGATCTACTCGAAAGATATGAAGCAGCACGTTGAGCATCTACGACGGGTGTTTGAAATTCTTCGACGAGAACGCTTCTACGTGAAACTATCCAAGAGCGAGTTTGCGTTGAAAAAAGTCCAGTTCCTTGGACATATGGTGAGCGCTCAAGGAGTTCACGTGGATCCTAAGAAGATCGAAGCAGTGCGAACGTGGAAGACCCCTGAGAACGTGAAGGAGTTACAACAGTTCCTTGGATTCGCCAACTACTACAACCGGTTCGTACCGAACTACGCCAAGATTGCCGCACCATTAACGAACCTGTTGAAGAAGAATACACCATATCAATGGGAAGCGAAGCACCAGGAAGCCGTGGAACAACTTAAAACCGCACTCACGTCCGCACCTGTCCTTATCCTGCCAGACCCTGAACTTGACTATGTCATCGAGGCCGATGCTAGCGATCAAGCAGTGGGCTGCAGTACTCATGCAGGATCAAGGGAAGGGACTGCAACCCATTGCATACCTCAGTAAAAAACTTCACGGGGCAGAACTCAATTACCCCATCCATGACAAAGAGGCCCTCGCCATCGTCAACGCATTTAAGGCATGGAGGTGTTATCTCGAAGGAAGAAAAACGACTGTCTACACCGACCACTGCAGCCTCAAGTACCTGAAGACCCAACCAACACTCTCCAGGCGGCAGGTCCGGTGGATTGACTTTCTCGAAACCCACTTCCATTACGACATCGTGTATAAGCCGGGGCACAAGAACAAGGCAGACGCACTGAGTCGCCCTGCACACGTTGCCGCCTTACAAATCGATGGCATGAACCCACTTTTGAAGGGACTCTTCACGCATGGATACACCATCGACCCCGAAGTCTCTGTAGCAGAAAAACGCCATCTTTTACATTGGGATCAAGACATCGCATACCGCAAGGGCTCCACAAAAATATGGGTACCTAATTACCCTCCCTTACGCTAGTTACTGCTCGAAGAATATCATGATGTTCTCTACGCAGGCCACTTCGGTAGTAACAAGACGCTTGCCGGTATTGCGAAGCATTATTATTGGCCCCACATGGCAGATGACGTACAAAAATTCGTCACCTCGTGCGACACATGCCAACGGATGAAGAGCAGCAAACAGAAGAAAGCAGGATTACTACAGCCTCTTCCAGTCCCTGAACAGCCTTGGCAAGTGGTTAGCCTCGACTTATTCACCGGGTTACCACCTACCAAAGCTGGTTACGATGCCATTCTAGTCGTCATCGACAAATTCTCCAAAATGGGACACTTCATTCCGACACACACAACGGCTCGCACCGAGGAGACAGCGCAAATATTCTTCCGTTACGTCATCTCGCAACATGGTATTCCAACCACGCTGATCTCCGACAGAGACCCGAAATTCACGAGTAAATTCTGGAAGGAGCTCATGTCGCTCATGGGGACCAAACCCGCCATGTCATCAGCCTATCATCCCCAAACGGATGGTCAGACAGAGCGCCTCAACCAGATTGTCGAACAGCTTCTGCGAGCAGCGTGTAAGGACGATATCTCTAAATGGGATGCACATCTGCCGGTTCTCGAGTTTGCGTATAACAACGCCACGCACGCCGCAACAGGGCAAACTCTTTTTTTCCTCTGTTACGGTCGCAACCCACTCACGCCTCAGAAACCAACAGTACCCGCCACGGTGCAACCCGCACATGACTTCATTTCCACTATGCACCAATTGTGGGAGCGCACGCATAAACGTCTTCTGACTATCCAGCAGCAACAAAAGAAGCTCGCTGATCGGAGTCGCAACGATCATTCCATCCAGATTGGCGATCAGGTGCTTCTGGATACACGCAATCTCGACATTAGCCATCTTCCGTCTAAGTTCCGACCTCGCTTCTGCGGACCTTTTCTCGTCGAGGCACAGGTCACTCCAGTAACCTTCCGCTTGCGTTTACCAGCTACCTGGAGAATTCACAATGCCTTCCATGTTCAACTTCTCAAGCCCTATCGGGACCCAAACACGGTCTTCAAAGGTCGCCAGCCGCCGCCGCCACTGCCAGTGATCGTTAATGGGGAACCCGAGTACGAAGTCAAAGCCGTTCTGGCGCACCGACGACGACGTAGCGGCACCTTGGAGTTCTTGATTCGTTGGAAAGGCTATGATCCTTCCGAGGATACCTGGGTACCTGAACACGACATGGATAACGCCCGCCGTCCTCTACAGGACTACCTTGTCAAGCAGGGTGTTACTTCTACCACCCAGCTTTGAGGGGGGGAAGTGTGAGAGGACGTCCCCATTATAATATTTTCTCACTATTATATTTTTCCGTTATCCCATTTTCCCTTTTCTCCTCTTTATTTTGGTCTTTATCTCATCTCAATCGGCCTACTATTCTATTTTCTAGAGCCTTCTATTTATTTCTCTTATTTCCTACTTTTCCCACCGACATACCTATTATACGGCACCGACAGCGCCGACAGTGGTGTATACGGTGTAATCTGGGCGTAATCTCAAGTGCCAATAGACTTGCGTGCTTATGCGCACTTGTGATTATAGTATCGGGAAGGGTGTGTTCCCGAAGGTTCGTTTTATCTCGTTTATCCTTGTACTTTCTGAGTATAAATAGGCCTTGTATTCAGTTTTAGTGACAAGTTTCGATTGAGAATTCGATCCTATGACAGACAGTTGGCGCTCCACCAGGTCGTCTGCAGTCTTCCTCTCCTCCTGTGAGGCAGAACTCTACGCAGGCACCATGGTTGCTTATGAGGCCCGTTGGCTCACCTTCCTACTCCAGGAGCTTGGTTTCCCACAGTTCGCCCCCACCCTCTGGTGTGACAACTAGAGTACTATCCACATCTCTCAAGACCCTGTGTATCACACCCGCACCAAGCATATTGAACTTCGGCACTTCTTCATCCGTGACCTTGTCCAAAAGGAGCAGCTGAAAGTGGAATACGTTGCATCTGACTGCAACCTGGCTGATCTGTTCACTAAGCCCCTTGGGAAAGTTCCCCACCGCCGTCTCCTAGGCGCCATGGGGCTCTGTGCACCACCCTCCCTACCCTGAGTTCGATTGACGCCTATGGGGGGGTGTTAGTGTTAGCCTTCACTCTCACACTTTGTACTTTGTATTTTCTATATCCTAGAGTAGTGTAGTTTGCACATTGTGTTTGGTTGGGTGTACACCTACATCCCAACCAAACCCAAATGTTATCTCCAAGCAATCTCCAACCCACCAATTGGAGATTACCTTGGGATTACCCCCAATCCCTAGGGATTGCCCCCGATTCCCTTCCCCATCCATTCCCTCCCCTTCTTGGATGTACTTAAAGAGCTTCAAGCTCATTACTAATGCATCGCTTCTAAGCTTAAGTTCCTTCAGCCTCGTCCTCGTGGGCACGGATGTTGTTGTTGAGTGCCGCTAGTATGCGCACATGTGCACAGCATCAGGCCCATGCACGTGATACTATGCTAGATAGAATTTGATGCTAGATAAAGTTTGATGCTAGATAAAGTTTGGAGCATACATACATGATTTGAGCTCACAGATATGAATTAGTGCTTACACATACGATTCCATGCTTATGGACATCCTTTAATGCTGACTGGTAAGCTTATGAATACGATTTGATGCTCATAGATAGAATTTGATTCTTACATATATGATTTGATGCTCACAGATATCATTTAATGCTTACAGATATGATTTGATGCTTCCTGAAATCAGCCACTCGGAAGGAGAGGCGGAGCTGCCCAAGCTCCTGTGGGCAATCCAAGAGGTAGAAAGCGGTGGAGAGAGGTGAAGTTACGACGGGATGCAGAGATGTGGGGGGACGGAGATGTGGAGAGGTAGAGGGGGAGAGAGGATGAGTTGGAGACAGGCGGGGAGGGAGAAAGAAATGGAGAGGGACAGCAGGGAGTGAGGAGGGACATCAGAGCGCGTTCATGTAGGAGAGTGTGTGGAATGATTTTTTAGTCGACTCAAAAGTCACAGCGTTCATTTTTTCTTTCTTGATTCTCACACAACGCCTGCAGCATGCAGGAGAGTGTGTGGAGTGGAAGTAAAGGGGCAAGGGCAGGTACAGAACAACACAAGGTAGAGGCGGAGAGGTGGAGTGACAGTCTGACAGTCTGACAGGCGGAGAGGCAGATGCGAGTGGAGTGCAGGAGAGCAGGTGGAATCGAGGCGGCAAGGACAGGTACAGAACACAGGGTAGAGAGATGCACAAGGTTGGTTCAGAAGGATGTGTGATGCGACGTGGCATAAAAGACGAGTGATTCCTTCTATACATGCCCATGCATGCATGCAACACGGCACACACGCACCATACCTTTTACATGGCCATACCACAGCACACCGCACAACACCACACCACACCCAGCCGCCGCAAATCACACAGCATCACACTGTATCGCACCATACCGCACCGTACCACAGCATACCTCGTACATGACCATGCACTGGCTGAACTTGATCGTGCCGGCACGCCGGGTGGGGCGAGAAAACCTGCATTAGGAGGCATGGCATGTGGGGCATGGTAGTGGTGTGACTTTTGAGAATTCTCAAAAGTCATACCGATAAAGCTGGCGAGAGAACCTGCGTTAGGAGGCATGGCATGTGGGGCATGGTGGTGCGGAGATATGGATGAGAAGAAATGACACATTACATTCATGTTGCATGTCCTTGAGTTGCCCCTAGTTTTGGTTCGCCTCAAAACTAGACTTAATGTTGCATGTTCTTGAGTCGCCCCGCTACCCTCTCCCCACTTCTCACTCCCCCACCTCACCATTCCCCAGTTTTCCCCACTCCCCACTCCCCATTCCCCACTCCCCACTCCCCACTCCCCATTCCCCACTCCCCATTCCCCACTCCCCACTCCCCATTCCCCACTCCCCACTCCCCACTCCCCATTCCCCACTCCCCATTCCCCACTCCCCACTCCCCACTCCCCATTCCCCACTCCCCATTCCCCACTCCCCACTCCCCATTCCCCACTCCCCACTCCCCACTCCCCATTCCCCACTCCCCACGCCCCGCTCCCCATTCCCCGCTCTCCATTCCCCGCTCCCATTCCCCACTCCCCATTCCCCACTCCCCATTCATCACTCCCCACTCCCCACTCCCCATTCCCCGCTCCCCATTCCCCGCTCCCCATTTATCACTCCCCACTCCCCATTTATCACTCCCCACTCCCGACCCAGGGTCACCACAGCGAGCATACCAACAAAAAAGTTGATACCAAGAACAAGTTTCGGGACACACATGTGTGACGAAAGCACGCATTTGACGTAGAACACACCGAACAAGCAGGGCATAGTCGAATCCACAGTTACCGCGAAAAGCACCGTTGAGAATTTCAACAGAGGCAAGGGAAGCACGCGTGGAGAAAGCACGTACTTGACATAGAAGACACCCAGTAGGGCGTAGGCGAATCCGAGAGTCACCACAGAGAGAACAGCAACAAATGAGTTGACAACGAAGCAGTCCGGGTGGGGTGTGAGGTCGCCACCAAACCCTGTAGGAAGCGAGATTAGAAGGGGCAGAGAGGTAAAGGAGATCGGCTGATAAAGATATGAGGTTGGCACTATCTCAACTGACGATATCTAATGTTTTGCAGCCATATCACAACCGCGTAGCGCAGTGGATTAGCGCGTTCGACTTCGGATCGAAAGGTCGCGGGTTCGATCCCCGTCGTGGTTGCACGGTTGGCCTTTTTGTATGATTACTTGCTGCTGACTTTGCCAGACAAGCAAGCTGCCACTAAGTCTCCACTAAAGCAGCAACTGGACGTCAAGAACCAATCGTTCTATTTTTTTTACCTTGGGGACTCAAAATAACATGCACAATTTTTTGAAGAGAACTTGAACAAGATGAGTGAGGGGTGGATGGAGCATGTGATATGGAAACGATGGACAAGATAATATGAAGCGGAGAATGGAGAAGGAAGACTGACCGATGGACATGGAAGATTGCACGCTGTTGATTGACGGATGCGGAAAATGGCGAGAGAAGCGGGCACCAGAGACAACAGATAGAGGGGAGGGGACAGCAGACAAGTACGCAGAAAAGAGTTAGCGGATATTAGCATGCACAAGGACGGACAAGGAACGGACAAGGGACAGACAAGGGACAGACAAGGGACAGACAAGGGACAGACAAGGGACAGACAAGGGACAAGGAACGATGAAGGGCAAGGAGGCAGAGGATGTGCGTGTGCATGACGCACAATCGCGACAACAATGTGACGCCTCAAACCGGATGCTCCACGCACACAAGTGGACGCGGAAGCACACCAGCACGCCAAAACAATAGCACATTAGCACGCCAGCACACCAACACGCCAGCATGCCAGCACATTAGCACACCAGCTACACTCACGTGAACCACACTGCATGATCCAATCGCTTGACCCCCGGCAGGCAATCCAGACCGTCCACTCGTGCCTGAGAGCATTAAGAGGGGCAGCGGTGGGGTGGGAAGGGGGGAATGATGAGAGGTGCATACGTGTGAACCACACACCAGTCGCTTCACCCCCTGGCAGACAATCCAGACCATCCACTCGTGCCTGGGAGCACAGATTGGGGCAAGGGGGAGTAGAGGTGCACACATGTTAGCCATTCCCGCCGCTTCACCCCCAGAAGGCAATCGAGACCGTTCATTCGCGCCTGAGAACACCAAGAGGGGCAGACGGGTGGGTGGGAAGAGGGGGAGGGATGGTGAGAGGTGCATACGTGGGCCACTCCAGTCGCTTGAACCCTGGCAGGCAATCCAGACCGCCCACTCTAGCCTGGGAGCATGGGGGGGGAAGGGGGGAAGGGGGGAATGGTGACAGGTGCACACGCGAGCCTCCACACCAGTCGCTTGACCCCGGGCAGGCAATCCAGTCCGTCCACTCGTGCCTGAAAGGACGGAGAGGGGCAGGGGTGGGGGAAGGGGAACGACGGGGTAGAGGTGAGACGGTAACGCATATATGCCGCTGCTTCACCCCCGGGCAGGCAAACCAGGCCGTCATGAGCTGTGAGCAGAGGGATGCAGAGAGCAATCAATGTGGGAATGGGAGTGACAGAAGGAGAGGGAGAGGAGAGGGAGAGAAGGAAAGGGCTCACCAAGCGAGGAGGAAGAGTGTCGGGGAGAGGACGGAGCTTACAAAAGCAAGGAAGGGGATGGCGAAGGTAATGAAGAGGGCGGCATAGGCCGCCACGAGCACAACTGAGAAGCGCTTCAGAGGCATCTGGAGGGTGTGGATTGGTGGATGGGAGGGGAAGCGGGTTGTGGAAGAAGGTAAGGTAACGAAGAGCGCTGCACAACTGAGAGGTGCTTCAGTGGCATCTGGAGGGGATGGGTGAGGAGGATGGGGATGTTAGTATGGCAGTGGCATTAATAAACTTCTAGGTGTCCAAGAGACATGGAAGAGACATGACCCACGTTGACTAGGCATAAAGTGAAGTTTCGAAACGTCCCAAAACCTCACTCTAGTATGGAAAGAGACATGGAAGACACATGACCTATGTCGTCGACTAGGCATTGCCTTACAGGTGTTCACTCATGCAGTCCAGAAAGTGGAAGAGGCACTGAATCCTGTTGACCTTGCATTGACATATGCGACCAAGCATTGGCTCACATTGACCAGGGATCGACTCACGTTGACCAGGCGTTGACTCACGTTGACTCATGTTGACCAGGGTGTGGAAGAGGTCCCGTTCAGCTTGTGATACCCATGTAGCTCGATGTTCATCCGACCACTGATTCAGGCATTGACTCACGTTGACCGACGTTGACTTACGTTGACCAGGGTGTGGAAGAGGTCAACGAAGTAGACGTTCAGCTTGGGATATCCATGTAGCTCAATGTTCAACCGACCACTGATTGGAGGGAGAAAGGAAAGGGGAGAGGTGGGGAGGGTGGTTGACGCCTTCAGCTTCGGATACCCATGCAGCTCAACGTTCAGCCGATCACTGAAAGGAAGCCGGGAGGGGAGCGGGAGCCGATCCCTGGTTCAGAGAAAACAGGAATAGGTAAGGGGGGAAGGAGGGTGGTGGGGGAAGTGATGGGTGTTTCGAGTGCTCACGCAGCTCGGTGTTCAGCCGACCACAGAGTCAGGGGGAAAAGGAAGGGAGCGGGAGGGGAAAGTGACGGGTGAAGTTCAGGTCAGGGCCTTCTGTTTCGAGCACCCATGCAGCTGGATGTTCAACCGACCTTTGATCAGACCCAAGTGGAGGGAGGGAGGAACGGAGGGAGGTGGGCCAGGTGGGAGAGCGAGTGAGTGAGTGTAAGCTTCGGGTATCCATACAGCTCGATGGTCAATACCACAAATTCAAGGGAGAGAGGAAAGGGGAGAGGGGAGGGAGGGTGGTCCAGGAAATGTTGAGTGAGTTGAAGCTCAGCCTTTCAGCGGTACCCGTGTAATAGCTGGGTGTTCAGCGGATCACTGATTTATGGGGGGGGCGGAAGGGGGGAGGGGAACGGAAGAACGGAAGGAAGGGTGGTGCGGGAAGCGATGAGTGAATCGAAGCTGAGCCTTTCAGCTTTGAAGACCCTTCTGTCGACCCATGCACGGTCACTTCCTTCGTGAACTAGCTGGGAGCTCAGCTGACCCTTTACTGAAGGGAAGGAAGCGACGCGGAAGTGGGCGTGAAACGGCTACAGAGGGAGCGAAAGGAGTGGCACGGAAGGCAAGAGAGAGGAAGTACGTACGATTCGTCGACGAGAGGAAGCTTCTTAATCTCCGGCTGCTGATGCGTAGCTCGACCCTGCTGCCAAGCTGCTGCCCCGTGTGCCACGTCAGCACGCGAACCGGAACTCGCCATCCTGTCACTAGCAGCTCCTAGCTTTCTCCTAGCTCCTACTTTTCTGGCACCTCCTGGTTTTCTGGTAGCTCCGAACTCCGCCTTTCCTGATACTGGAAAAAATCAAACTGTCGAAGTGACGTCATGGTTGCGCATCCGACGAATAGTCATACCTCCGAATCACGGCCAAAAAAAGGTTGTAGCAAATATACTCTAATTTTGTTGCAAAGCAACCCTTTAAAGCCCGCAGCCCAAGTTGTTCAACCTTACTAAGGTTGACCATTGGGTGGTGGGGGAGGTGGAGAAAGAAAAGTCGAGGTGTTGGGGGGGTGGGTGTAGTTGGTTTCGCCCAGATTTTCGCCACGCTTTGTTTTTCTTGCTGACACAGCAAACACCAGGGGCCAGCTCGTGTTCAGTTGCGAGTCTCCCATGTTGCACAGATAATAATATTGAAAGTTTCCCCCTGCTCATGTTTCGCGAACTCAGTGGAAGTGCGCTGGCCAATCAGATTTATTCTCACAATCCGTAACCCTAGTTCGTGCAAGAAAGAAACCCAAAGCAACCCTCGATCAAGAATAGTAAGGTTGACTAGCACGACCCGCAACTTGGGCCGCGGGCTAAATCAATTTTGACGAATTTTATTCTAATGTTTTTTCATAAAACATGACTACAGTACCACCCTTCCCATTCTGTATATATTCAACTCATTTTTCTTTCTTGTAGTAGTTTTGTGCATATATGCTATACTGTTTGCATTATCTTTTCCTATTTGTTGTGATTTGCATATAATGAATGCTATGAATATTAGTAATAAATTACACACCATGCATGCTTAAATTCGAAATGAGAAATAGAGAACCCGTGGCCAGCTTGAAAGGGGGCCTGCCGAGCGAAACAATTTTCTCTCGTTTGCACTGTTCCTTTGGGAGCATTTTTGCAGATCGAACAGATCTGATTGGTTCTCACCAAACCCAAAAAAAAAAAAAAAAAAAAAAAAAAAAAAAAAAAAAAACATAGCACGTCAGGCGTCGCACATCTGTTTGGGAAGGCGCACAACTCTAGCACCGCGATCGCCCACGCACGTCTTTGCGATTTTGGGCCCAGCTTGGGGTTCAAGTTGGGCCTAGGTGAACTACTAGTTCTTCCGATCATACATCTCTGTTTTTTAGTTATAAATAGTCGGCCTAGCCATAGAACCATCAACTTAGGCCGTTGTTGTTTCAATTTTGACGCACAGTGAAGCTGGCATGGTTGTGTAGTACTTTGTGCCATTTCGAACGCACTCTCGCTGCCTTCCCATCGATTCTCGCTCGCCCTCCCGTTCCGATCATCCTCGCGCCGTCCGTTCCGTCGTTCGTCCCGTCGCCGTCCCGTCGCCTTCCCGTCGCCGTCCCGTCGCCGTCCCGTCACCCTCCCTCTCCGTTCGCCCTTCAACTCTCGGTTCGTCCTTCCCCTCTCGGTTCGCCCTTCCCCTCTCCGTCCCGCTTCCCCTCTCCGTTCGCCCTTCCCCTCTCCGTTCGCCCTTCCCTCTCCGTTCGCCCCTCCCCTCTCCGTTCGCCCCTCCCCTCTCCGTTCTCCCTTCCCCTCTCTGTTCGCCCCTCCCCTCTCCGTTCGCCCTTCCCCTCTCCGTTCGCCCTTGCTCTCTCCGTCGCGCTTCCCCTCTCCGTTCACCCTTCCCCTCTCCATTCGCCCTTCCCCTCTCCGTTCGCCCTTCCATCTCCGTTCGGCCGTCCCCTCTCCGTCGCGCTTCCCCTCTCCGTTCGCCCTTCCCCTCTCCATTCGCCCTTCCCCTCTCCGTTCGCCCTTCCTCTCTCCGTTCGCCCTTCCTCTTGTGAAATTTAGAATGAAGAAGGGAGGGTTGCACTAGCAAGAATGGGGATACAAATAGCAAACCCTAGAAGGGTTGAACTCGCTATAGAGCACCCCACTACAGGCTAGAGCATAAGATAATATTCTGACACACCCCCATAGCCAAAGTGGGGTGTAATCAGCAGAGCAAGCAAAGCAGTACAAGCTCAGGGTGGATCACAATGTCACCACACATTCTGAGCACAAGTTCAAGAAGCAATAGTTTTAAGGGTACAATTATGAGCAAAGCTAGTGGTAGTCACAACGGGCAAGCGAGGAGGAGGAGAGAGAGTGAGAGGAGAGGAGATAGGAGGCGACGGCTGAAGCTGCAGACACACGGGCAACAGGAGGCAGACTGGCACAGCGGCTACCGGACGAAGTCCCCGGAATACAGGAGTAACAGGCCCCGCGGCTAAAGTAGCGGCAGACGAGCAACGGACCCACGGGCGGCTGGCACAGCTGGCTACGACTGGGCTACCAGACGAAGTCTCCGGAATACAGGTGCTGCTAGCGACACGACGGCAACCTCCATACAGCTTCCCCAAACTATCCCACTCCCCCTGGCACACACCCGCTGCTACACCGCTAGCTCCACTCCCACGCACCCCCCTTAAACCCTAAACCCCAGTCTCCCACACATCCACCCCCCTCAGCGACAGCTGCAGCAGTGGGAGACAAAGGAGGAGGAGGAGCAAAGGGAGGAATGCAGAAGTGCCACCCCCATACTCGCCACCCCCTACTCGCCACTCCCCAAACCCTAACACAGGCAGGGCACGATGGCGGGTAGGGAGGTTACGGGGGAGGGGGCGGGGGGGGGGGGGGGGGAACCGACGCGCGGCCTCCCAGGACGCCAAGACAGGCAGCAGAAGGGGCGGCGCTCGCCCCCCTCCAGCGGCCCCCGAGGGTCGCCTCGACAGGCGACGGGAAAAGGGGCCGCAGGCGGGGCCGGGGCGCAGGTAGGGCGATGGGGCCGGGGCGCAGGTAGGGCGTCGGGGCCGGGGCCGCAGGCGGGGCCGGGGCCGGGGCCGGGGCGCAGGTAGGGCGACGGGGCCGAGGCGCGTGCCCTCGGTGCGCCGCGACGGGTCCCCGTCGCCCGTCGCGGCGCCTCCAGAGGGCGACGCGGCGAACGACGGGGCAGAAGCCCGCCGCGCGCCTCGGGGCGCACAGCGGGCAGAGAACCGCCGCGCGCCTCGGGGCGCACGGTGGGTAGAAAACCGCCGCGCGCCTCAGGGCGCACGGCGTGCAGAAAACCGCCGCGCGCCTCGGGGTGCACGGCGGGCAGAAAACCGCCGCGCGCCTCGGGGCGCACGGCGGGAAGAAAAAGTGGCGTGCGGCTCAGAGAGTAGTGAAAGGTAGTTGCAGCGGAAGCGAGGAGGTGGTAACCCACCCACAGGATCGATCCAAGGGGATCGACCTGCTCTGATAGCATGTGAAAATTAGAATGAAGAAGGGAGGGTTGCACTAGCAAGAATGGGGATACAAATAGCAAACCCTAGAAGGGTTGTACTCGCTATAGAGCACCCCACTACAGGCTAGAGCATAAGATAACATTCTGACACCTCTCTCTGTTCGCCCTTCCTCTCTCCGTTCGCCCTTCCTCTCTCCGTGGCGCTTCCTCTCCCGTCGCCCCTCTTCTCTCCCGTCGCCCCTCCTCTCTCCCGTCAACCTTCCTCTCTCTCCTTACTACGTCGCTCTCGCTGTTCTCGCTCAAAGTACTACCGTGCCTGATTAAATTGTTTCTTTAATATGGCATTGGGCACTGAAAGGGACGTGGGTTATGCGGCTCTCTCCTTGGAACTACGAATTAACTTGGATTTATTTTCTGTTTGAAATATTCATCGTGTGAACCATTCAGTCTTGGTGTTCAAACATTAATCACACTCTCCCCGTCGCATCTCCCTCACGCTCAGGCTCTCCCCTCCCATCTCCCACACGCTCACGCTCTCCTCGTCGCATCTCCTCTCGCTGCCCCTCGCCCTTGGATTTGCTAGCGAGCCCCGCTGTGATTCGGCTATCTCGTCCGTCCTGTCTGAGAAAATGAGAACGAGGATGAACGAATTATGAATGAACTGAGTACAAGTACTAACCCTAATTGGGTTGTACCCCTTATGGGCTACCCCACTATAGCCTACACAATAAGCACAAGCTATATGTTCTGACACACCCCCATAGGCAAAGTGGGGGAGAACAAGGGGTCACAAGACCAGTCAAGCAAAGCAAAGCAAAGCAAGCTCAGGGTGGATCACAAAGTCACCACACATTCTGAGCACAAGTTCAAGGCCACAAGGCCAGTTCACATGCAGGAGTACATATATATAAAGGACTAGACAAGCAAGAGCAGGTGTATATATATGCAACAGTACAAGCAAGGTCAAGAGGTGAGCAAGTGAGGCAAGACAGGCACAAGACCCAGCTGCGTGCAGAAGCGCTGATGATCACAAGGCGCAAGTGCCTTGGTGAAGACATCAGCAGTGTTGGCCTCAGAGGCCACGTACGCAAGCCGCAACTAATCACGCTGCTGTAGCTCACGAGCAAGAAAGTAGCGAAGAGCAATGTGCTTTGTTCTGTGCTCCAGTCTCTGCTCTCGACACAAGGCCAGCATGGCCTTGTTGTCTACGTACAGGACTGGAGGAGAACGAGGCGACTCTCCAAGGTCGATCAGCAGGTAGGTGAGCCAGCAAAGCTCCTGTGCAGCCATGGCCCCGGCGTAGATCTCAGCCTCACAACTGGAGCCGAGAACAGAAGACGAGCGAGTAGCCCGCCACGAAACAGAGCCAGAACCAAGGCTGAAGGTGTAACCCTGTGACGACCGCTGCGTAGCCTGGTCGTCAGCCCAAGAAGCGTCCGCGTGCCCAGTGAGGACCACTGGACTGCGCCCTCCAAGCACTAGCCCCATGCCCGACGTACTGCACAAGTAGCGCAACACCCTCTTCGCTGCAGCCATGTGCTCTGGTCGGTGTCTCCCAGGAGCAACATAGCGTGCGAGAATGCTAAGAGGGTATGCAAGGTCAGGTCGTGTGCATGTCGTCAGGTACATGAGGCAGCCAACAAGCTCTGCATACGGGCCACTCGACTCTACGGACTCATCCGAAGGCAGAGCTGAGAGCGAGTGGCGAGTAGACAGAGGAGTGGCCTGAGGCGAGGAGTACGTGAAGCCGAAGCGCTGAAGGACCTGCTGCACCATGTGTGACTGAGTCAGGGTAATGGTGCGGCGTGCTCTGTCCCGGGTGATCTGCAAGCCAAGGTAGCTGCGCAGTTCACCCAGGTCAGTGCACGTGTGTCTCTTCTGCAGCTCGGACTTCACGTGCGCGAGTCCAGCAGTGTCAGCTGTGGCAAAGACCAAGTCGTCGACGTACACGAGGATGTAGAACGGCGGCAGAGAGGTGTCGGTGCGCAGAAACAGCGACGGGTCTGCAGTGGAAGGAGCAAACCCAAGTAGCCGCCAGCGTAGTCCTCAGTGTGTCGTGCCACTCACGTGGCGCGTGGCGGAGACCGTAGACTGGACGCCGGAGACTCCACTGGGTACCAAGAGGGAAAGACCCAGTGAAGCCAGGTGGGCGGCGCAGCCAGATCTCCTCGTGCAGGCTGCCTTGCAAGAAAGCTGTGCTGAAGTCAAGAGAGTGCAGCTCGTAGTCACGGTGAGCAGCTATGTGCAGCAGTACCCGAAGAGTGGTCATCTTCGGGGTGGGAGAGAAAGTTTGAAAGTAGTCAACTCCCTGCCGCTGACTGAAGCCACAAGCCACGTAACGCGCCTTGAAGACAGGCGGAGAACTCGGCGGCCGCTTCACCCTGAAGATCCACATGCCACTGACGATGTTCGCCCCAGGAGGAGGAACCGCGTCAACGTAGGTGCCTGTGGACTTCCAGGAAGCCATCTCTGCATCCATAGCTGCCTGCCACTGAGAAGAGTAGGGACCCTCTATCGCCTCCGCGTAAGAGCGCGGAGTCGGGATGTCAAGTGCATCCGGGTCTCCCTCAGGGGTAAGCAGTACGGACACGAGATGAGGTGAAGCAGCGGCCAAGCACTGGAACTCCTCCTGCCTGTCCTCAAGGACGTCCGTGCCAAGGGCACACTCACCCCCGACGGACGGAGGACAGACAGACTCAGACTCAGCGACAAGACTAGCAGCGTAGTCTAGGCGACACCGAGCAGCAAAGTCGACGAGCTCAGCAACTAGGGCAGACGCAGCAGTGGACTCGAAAGAAGGGTCAGTGACGACAGTAGCCAGGAGACGCGTGACAGTAGGACTGGCAGCACGAAAAGAGTCCGACTCCGGGTCGGAAAAAGCAGGAAGAGAGGACTCAGGAGGAGAAGGCAAAGGGACACGTAGAGGAGCAGTGGACGGACGCAGAGACATCCTGTGCGTGCCAGGGACACGAGGAGGACGCTGACGCGAACCACGACCACTAGCGCGAGCAGCACGGACAGGCGACGCAGGGTGAGACGCAGGCTCACGACGCTCAGTAAAACGTATAGTAGGACCAGTGTAGGGAGAACGAGCAGGCGAAGGGGAGGTAGGCTGCAACTGTAACTGTGACGGGACTGGCTGTCGACACCCGAAAGAAGGAGGAGGACCAGTAGAAGGCGGAAGACCAAGAACCTGTTGCAGGAGTGGAACTGAAGTACGTTCGAGGCCGCGCGGCGATGCCAGACACAGCAGGTACAGCACCAGAACCCCCAGTAGGAGCACCCGCTCCAGCTGCACCTTTAGCAGCACCAGAACCTCCAGCAGTACCAGGAGTACCCGCAGCAGGACCGCCAGCAGTAGTCTCAGCTCCAACACCCTCAGCAGCACCAGCTCCAGTCGAACCCGCAGGCCCAGCAGCTCCAGTACTCCCAGTACAAGCACCTTCGAGACCCGCGACAGCAGCACCCTCAGTAGCCGAAGAACCTCCAGCACCAGCAGCACGCCTCCAGCGCTGGGCAAACCACTCGCGCAGCTCCCGTGGAGAGAGTGGCTCCCACAGAGAAGAAGCCCGCGGAGAACCTCCAG